GATACTTTTTTACGATCGTGCCCATTTCGGACAATTTGGCCAACAAAAATCCAGGGGAAGCTGATCTTATTCAAAAATTAAACCAAGAATTTAGAAATTAAAAAAATGGGCCTTTTCGACTCTGGACAGCCATATCCCTGGGGGTTTCCGGTTTACATCGGACGGAATTCATTGGTCAGAGCCCATGGCCAATGAATTAATCCACCATTGGGTTTCTAAGGCCAAGAAATGTCGTGCTGTTTTTGCTTAGATGCTAAAGGGGTAGACCACGATCAACCTCCAAACACTATTAACCTAAGCTCTAGGAATCTTTCCAAACCCGAGTTAGATTTATTAGATAAGGGCCTCAAATTCATCCCTACACCAAAAAATGCTCCTAAATCAGATCTCCAAAATTCGGCTTCTGAAATCGGTTGTAAAATCAAAATTATTAACTTCTTCCACAACAAACCTCCAACAAGTAATGGTAAACTTTTCATTGGAAAAAGTGATTGGCAACCCCCACATTCGGCTACGCCACTAAGCATCCAAAATTCAGTCAAAAGTATTTTCAAGGATCTTTCAAACACTAAAATCATTAAAGAAACTCCAAATTTAACAGCGCATGAACAAAATGCAATTAAATCACTCCAAAACGACAAATCCATTATTATTAAAAAAGCCGACAAAGGCTCTTCCAGTTATCTTAGATAAATCAGATTATATTTGGGAAGTAGAACGACAACTTAAGAACCCAAAACACTACCAAACACTTGAGGCCCGAACCCAAAACACTACCAAACACTTGAGGCCCGAACCCAAAACACTACCAAACACTTGAGGCCCGAACCCAAAACACTACCAAACACTTGAGGCCCCTATCTATCCACAAACTAGCATGGAACTTCTAAAAATCCTTAAAATTTTAGAGAAAAACAAATTTTTGAGTAAAAGACAAGTTCAATACCTTAGTCCCAAAGAAAACCCCAAGCCTAGACACATTTATGTTTTACCTAAAATTCATAAACCAACCCGATAAATGGTCCAAACCCTTTTCCATACCACCCGGGACAACCCATTATATCGGATGTTGAAAGCGAATCATATAGGATTTCTGAATATATTGATCATTTTTTGGCTCCACTTTCTATCAAACACCCAGCTTACATCAAAGAAACTTTTGATTTCATAAGTAAAATTAAAAACTTAGTTATTCCACAAAACAGTCTTTTAATTAGTTTAGATGTTGATAGTATGTATACCAATATTGATAACAAAGACGGTCTTAAAGCAGTAGCCAAAACAATGTTAGACAATCCTTGCCCAAAAAGACCAGATTTAGAAATTTTGAAACTCTTAAAATTAGGACTAACCAAAAATGATTTTGAATTTAACGGTGATTGGTATCTCCAAATTTCAGGAACAGCCATGGGTAAAAAATTTGCCCCAGGTTATTCCAACATTTTCATGGCCGAATTCGAAAAACAAGCTTTAGGCAAATGTTTAGACAAACCTCTAGTTTATGTCGGATTTCTTGACGATATTTTCATCATTTGGACACATTCCAAGGAAAAATTTTATGCATTTTTTAACACTATAAACAGTCACCATCCATCAATCAAACTCAAGGCTACCATAAGTAAAAACTCAATCGATTTCCTGGATACTACTGTTTTTAAAAGTCCCGGTTTTCATAAGACTGGCAAATTGGATATAAAAGTTTACTTTAAACCAACAGATACCCATCAATTACTCCACAAAAAATCGTTTCATCCAAAACACTCTTTCAAAGGCATCATTAAGTCACAAATTCTACGGTTTCATCGCATTTGTACACAAGAATCAGATTTTAAAAATGCAGTCTCTATCTTATTCAAGGCTCTAAGAAATAGATGTTATTCTTACAGATTTTTACGTAAAATAAAAGGTGAAACCCTTTCAGAAATCAACCCAAGAATCAAACACACCGTTAAACCTTGTAATAATAAACGATGTGCGACCTGCCCTTTTGTTCAAACGACATCCTTTTTCACCAGTACAAACCATTCTATTAAACATTTCATTAGACAAAATCTAAACTGCGGATCAAATAATGTCATTTACCTTTTAACTTGTAATAAATGTAAACTACAGTACGTAGGACAAACTACTTCAACTCTCAGAGAAAGATTCACTTGTCATCGTTCCGACATTGAACACGCCAAAAATAAACCAGTATCTTTTCATTTTAATAAAGATAATCATTCGTTAGAAGATGTATCTTTAATCCCGATTGAGAGGGTCACCAGTTCTGATCAGTTTAACGACAGAGAACTTTGGATAGACAAACTACAAACCTTGAAACCTAACGGAATAAACGAAAAAAAATGTGTCAGGTGAAATTCTTCCTTTTGTAATTACTTTCAACAAAACAGCCCAGATAGCCAGTAGAAAAGTCAAAAATCAGTATGAAACACTCAAATCTAATTTTCCTAACATTTTAAAATCTAAACTAGTTACAGCGTACCGCAGAAACAAAAACCTTCAGGACTTTTTAGTCCGGAGTCATCTTAAAGCAGAAACAAACACTTAGGCCAGTGCCCAGGGATTAAACCCTAATCCCTAACCCTAGTCCTAAACCTAAACCCTAACTAGTAAGTTGTTTTGAAGTGGATCATTGAAACACATGGCTTATATTACGCTTAAGTTACAGATCCCTGCAAAACAATCTGGATCGTCGGGTCATCCATCATCAGATGGGCTTTTTGTCAAGCCAGAGCATCCATCGAGACATCCCAGTTAGATTTAGGACGGCTACAAGCGAACATTGTGTGGCAAGCAAAGGGGGGTTTACGATGGAGAAATTTGTTCAGTCATTTGAAACTTTTGTTGCCTAGTTATAACCCTCCTCACATTTTTGTAATCAACTGTGGGGGGAACGACATAGGCCAGCGTAATTCCTGTGAGTTGAGGCATAATATGATTGAGGTTTTAGACAAAATCTCTGTATTTTTACCTAATACAAGGTTAGTATGTTCTGCCATTTTGCCACGCCTTAAATGGAGGGGTGGGGTGAATCAAAAAGCAGTAAGATTCAAGCTCGTGTAGATAGTCAGATAAGCGCCTATATAGTCAGTCGGGGTGGGGGCTATATTAGGTACCCTAAAATAACGGATACAAATCCGGCTTTATTTGCTGATGACGTACAGTTGTCCCTTTAGGGAACAATTTTTTCCTGTACCGATTACAGCTGCAAGTATTTTTGACCAGTAACGAAAGCATTTCCCCCACGGTTTGGAGAACTTGGCCCATGGCGGTTTACTTGATATGAAAAATGTCTAGTCTGGACAAGCACATTGCAATTTTTATTTGGGTTTATCTGATGGCACGTTTTGAATGGGATGTTCCCTTGATATTTGTTTTTTCCTGTTGGGACGATAAGATGGCTTCTGGTTTTTGGAGGTTGCCATACTACGCCCATGTTGTTTGGTCGGTGATCCTAGCCTTGCTTTTGATGCAGGCTGTTTTGACGGGTTTGTCCCGTTGCTTCCAGCTGGGTTTATGCCCATGATTTTTGTAAAACTTTTGACATTGTCCCTTCAGCCTTTTTTAAATCACGGATAGGACAGTTTGGCTTTCAGTTGTTTATCAGCTCCATTTGCGTGGGCTCCTCAAACATGCATTTTGCCTAACTAGATATTTTTTCAGCATGTGTACGCTTTCTGTTGTGGCTATGACAACATTCGTTTTAACTTCATTATTGTCTTTTGGCAGGTTTTCACTCGGGACAACAGAATGCGGTTTTTCAAATTGACTTTTACATATACAGTGTTCCAAACAGCAACAGCTATTATTAGGGGAATTTTCTGATCCCAGTTTCCATTCAATTCTAGCTGTTGAAGTCATGGCCAATATCAGCCAATATACAAAAAATATCAAAATCCAATATACAAAAATATCAAAATAATAAAATAACAGTTTACTTAATATTGCTGTGTTGTCTTCTATTTGATAATTGCAACCCCATCTTTTGCCAAATGAATATACTGCACAGAAATATGTACTAGTTTACTTTCTAGTACTATCTTTGATTTGCTTACTTTAGGTGACCTCATCTTATGTCGATGGAAGGGAGTGTGGTGGTCAGGATATGTGGCGGAATTTCAAGATTCCACAACATATGTAATAGGAGTTTGGAATAAAGATGAATGGTATGTTTTTCATTCACAGAAGATGAGTCTAAAGGCAAGATGCATATTATATTGTTACGTCCCTATCTAAAACTATTGTAGTCTCTTTCTGTAAGTTGGTAATGTAATTAATGAAAATAATATATACTGAAAGGATAAAGAAACACAGGGTAATATTGATTCCGATATTTTGAAAACGCGTTCTCCAAATAAAGTGAAACTTTGTGGATGGAGTGATTAGGTCATATTACACCTTGTGTATCGAAAATTTAGTCACGGTACAGTGCGCAGCTCTGGTAAATGGAGGAAGGAAAAAACAATAATATCGTGCACCGTGTTTACTATTTTACTATCAATGAGAATATTTGACATGGTTTCTGAAATATCCAAGTGAATGATACAATCCTCCGTGACTTTTAACTTCAACCTTTAAAAATCAATTCTGGAATAGTCTTGTCATTTATCTAGGTTAAGGAATGGAGGTAAAACGTGTACAAGTCCTAAAAGATACTGATCACATAAACCCATCAACATATTAAGGACAAAGAAAATAATAATACTTTTACTTTGTTTCAGAAAAGAATATTACTATTCTATCACATCATTCTATCTTTTCTATGGTACTCTATGAGAAACCATTTAGTGTCACCTTAATGCAAACTTTAAAGATGAACATGTACTTGGCATTTCACAACAAACCCAACATGTCAGAAATATTTTCTGAACAATTTCCGTTATTGTCAAGTATATTTACAGTCTTATCTGCTTCAAAGTATATTAAATCATTTTTAGAACCTGTACTGTTTAGGGAAACAATGATACAATCAAGACAATCATCTTTCTTTTCAGGAATCAGGTTTTTTCTTCCATTACACAGGAGTCATCCACTGTAGCGCAAAACACTTCCTGTGTGAAAAAGGATTCTGCTTCCGCAGTACAGAACACTTCCTCAATAGAACAGGACTCTTCCTCCGTATTACAGGACACTTCCTCCGTAACACAGGACACATCCTCTGTAGTACAGGACACTTCCTCCCTAACACAGGACACTCCCTCAGAAGCACAGGACACTTTCTCCGTAGTACAGGACACTCCCTCACAAGCACAGGACACTTCCTCCATAGTAAAGGACTCCTCCTCCTTAGTACTGGACACTTCCTCCGTAACACAGGACAATTCCTCAGTAGCACAGGACACTTCTTCCCTAGCACAGGGCACTTCCATCATAGCACAGGACACTTTCTCCGTGTTACAGGGCACTTCCTCCATAACACAGAACTCTTCCATCGTAGCACAGGACACTTTCTCCGTAAGGCAGGACACTTCCTTCGCAACACAGGACACATCCTCTGTAGTACAGGACACTTCCTCCGTAACACAGGACGATTCCTTAGTAGTACAGGGCACTTCCTCCTCAACACAGGACACTCCCTCAGTGGCGCAGGACACTTCCTTCATAACACTGGACTCTTCTGCTGTAGCATAGGACTCTTCTGCAGTAGCACAGGACACTTTCTCCGTAATGCACGACACTTCCTCTGTAACACAGGACACTCCCTCAGAAGCACAGGACACTTGCTCCATAGTAAAGGACTCCTCCTCCTTAGTACTGGACACTTCCTCCGTAACACAGGAGGATTCCTCAGTAGCGCAGGACACTTCCTCCGTAGTACAGAATACTCCCTCAGTAGCATAGGACACTTCCTCCGTAGTACAGTTAGTACAGGATACAAAATGTTAAGTCCATAAATGAAAAATTGTAAGCTTGTGGATATTTTAGATATACAAGGATTCTGAATTTCCTACTAGTTAGTAATATGCATGGTCAGTAATGTACAAGTGAACTGCAGTTGGATACAAAAACTTGATTTTGACATTGACAGAAAGATCCATAAAAATATACTATTTGAAATAGTACATGAAAGAGATATTAAAGAAATTTTTATTGAACTGTAAAACTGCATTCTACTGGACTGTCTTTGAATTAATCTGATATAAACATCTCGTGCAGTGTGATGATACATATAGAAATATGCATAGTCTATATTTATAGGAACATATATGCAGTACTAGTATCAGCACATTTGCTCCAAGAGCCCTTTATGTTCTCAATAAACCCAATATGTAGCATAAGCACACAAGTGTCTTAGTTTTGTTTTGAATAACTGTAAATTGGGATATATTTGTGTATTCTTTATTTATGTACTTAATATTATACTTGTTCATCTCATTTAATTATCATCTGCTGTACATGTTTTTCATGGTTTAAAATCTCATAAATTCTATTTATTCAGTTTATGGTAAGTCCTCTGTTCCTGCCCATGACACTTGTATCAAAACATTAGCAGATGCATCACTGAATTCAAAATTACTCACAAAGGAACTTGAAAGACTACAGATTGAAAATGACAAACTGAAAACGGCAAAACCTAGATTAAGAGTAGTGCAGCTAAGTAACAACGAATTGACATTTTATACGGGGTCTGCCATCAGCACCCTGCTTCCTGCGGATTGCTGACTTCGTCAATACTGAGCCCCTCTGATAGGGTGCTTTTGACTTTAATGAAACTAAGACTGAATGTGCCAAATAAAGACCTTGCAATACGATTTGGATTATCAGAAACATCTGTGTCAACCTTTGTAGATGGATCAATATCAGAAATAGCCAATAAACTCAAGTTTTTGATTTATTGGCCAGAAAGGAGGAAATTCGTAGATCCCGTCCTCAGTGTTTCAAAGACACATTTCCAAAGTCCATTTCTATCATTGATTGTACAGAAGTTTACATCGAATGTCCGTCCAATTTTTGTGCTAGATCTGCTACATACAGCAAATTCGTAGACATGCTAATACAATCAAATTCTTGATCAGCATAACCCCTGCTGGATCAGTTTCCTTCATTTCTGCAGCACATCGTGGTAGTACCTCTGACAAGCTGATTACACAGCAATCAGGTTACCTAGACAACATTTCACCTGGCGATCTCATAATGGCTGATCGAGGATTTTTAATTCGTGATGAATTGGCTGTGCGAGGTGCAGATTTAGTTATTCCAGCATTTACACGTGGAAAACCACAACTTAGTGCTAGAGAGGTTGAGAATGGACGCAAAATTTCCAATGTGCGCATTCATGTTGAGAAAGCAATGGAGAGACTGACACAGTTCAGGATTCTTTCAGAGAAAATGCCTTTAAGTGAAACAAGTCTGGATCTGAAAATTATCGAGGGTTTGAAATGTTGTGATCAGCCATTTGTTACTTTGAATGGAAGAAATAATGCAAGAACATTTTCAGTATCCAACTTACCAAATGAAAATCCTTCATTTGTACATATTACTTTTAATTCCTCCACTGGTAAATATATTATTTCATGACTAAATGGACACTGTGAATCTGTAAGAGGAGCAAAACGCAATATTGAATTATTTAGTAGTTATGATTCACTCTGTGAACATCTGAAATGTATCTATGAATCACAGGAATGGCAAAAGTTCAAAGTAAAAAACAGTGCAGATTTTGATCATGCAGATTTTGATAACACTCATGGAGATATACCAGAAGTTGAGCTAGATGTTGGGACAGAGTTATTAACACACATTAGTGATAACACTACTTGTTTTGATACATCCTCTGGTTTGTGGCATTTTCCATGTAAAAGTTCTTACTCTGCAAGGAAAGAATTATCAGAGGAGTTAGCTGCTGCTCTACAATTTACTGCTTGTGTTCCTCGTGTTGAATGATGCCTTAAAGGTCCTATACTGGTTCAATCTGTTCCTTTATCACCCTGTCAATGTGGGGCTCGTTGGTCTAGTTCTCAGTATTCAGAGGGTATAACAATATTTAAATATTTAAAAGAAATCTTCGTCTGTTTTCAGTGGGCATCTTTGTGAAGCTGCAAGGAAGAATCTGCTGTGAAATTGTAATAATCACCATGTAATTTACAGTATCATTAAGGTAGCATTCCGTACGTGTGTACTATGATGTAATACTGCTCATGTTTTAGCTGGACTGTAGATAAGCATGTAGTGTTGTCACGAGGTAAGACAACAGTTCTTTTACCTCGCATTAGGACCGTCTGAATAAATATTTTACTGGTGCAGAATATTGCATTCCGTTTTATTTTGTAACCTAATTCGACTGACGGCCCGGGGTAATACTCGCAGCTATGTTTGGTAGCAGAGGCAGTATAATCTTGCAACGATCAAGGGGCAAGTTGTGCCACACAATCAGCATTTTTCATGACCTTGTTTCAACCTCCTAGTTTCTTTCGAACATCAAATCAAAAGGGTGGAGGAAAAAGTAGGGAAGCTGATATGTATCATGATATTAACTGACTTAATTGTACTGTTTGTATCATTTTTTGGGAGAAAAATTGTGAAATTGACACAACTTAAACCAACTCTCTCCTTTACCTGAACGCGCGGAAAGTGTGACATCTGGTGAGCTATTCGATTACAGGAACAGCTGTTCCTACATACCATCTTGCGCCAGTATTATAATGTGTATAAGTGTTCCGAATGGCATTCCGGACCTGTTTATTAGTACTGTAATGTTGTGAGTGTTCCGGACGGCACTCCGGATGCTTTGATTATTAAACCCCTACGTCCTGTGTTGTGATTGTGTAGTTCGCTGTTTTGTGTTAATTCCTCTCCCTTAGTGGCGTGGTGACAGCGAGATTCGATCTCACATCTTCTCATCAATACACAGATGAACTATGAACAGGAAATGGTGAGTACAGCACAAGTTTACATTTACGCTGATCGCAGTCGTAGTGTACCAACCACCAAACAATCATGGCCAACATAACCAGAGCACCAAAACAGTGGTGTTTGAGTAAGGCTGAAACAGTAAACTCTTTCAAAAACTGGAAACAAAACCTGATATATACTTCGTCATTAGATCAGAACTTTGCCCCTTTCCTCATCGACGGCGCACAGTGGCTAAAGAAAATTAGAGTCGCCCCGCCCAGGGGCTTTGTGAATGATGGCGAAGAGGTCCCCGAGGCCCATCGACGCACACACGAACAAAAAGTCAACATGCTAGAATTGATGCTAGGCGAAATCGCCAATTACTGTCCTATCATTTGGAGGAGTACCATAGTAAAAAATTCTACCTCATTAAGCTCCATTTGGCAAACTATCCGCTTCCTTTTTGGATTCCAATCGACTGGGTCTCATTTCCTCGATTTCGCCTCTAAGAAACTTGAGCCGAGTGAGCGGCCAGAAGATTTATTTCAGAGAATTATGGTCTTTATTGAAGACAACTTACTAAGGCGTGATATGGGCATAACCCACCATGGTCTTGATATTGATGACGACGAGGACATGTCACCTACGTTAGAAAATATGGCTATTCTGACATGGTTACGCTTAATCCATTCTGACTTACCCCGCCTAGTCAAACAGAGGTATGGGACAGAACTATGCAGCAGAACACTGGCTTCTATAAAACCAGAAATTTCACAGGCTCTAGACTCCTTACTGGAAGAAATACGTACCAGCGACAACGCCAAAACAACCAATAACTGACTTCCGGTCAGACCTAAACCGTCATCACGCTCCAGTCCACTTAGCGTCTCCAAAGTTTGCCCCTTATGCAAGGAGGGCAACCGCCCGAGTAACCACTACCTCAGCAAATGCTCGATTTTGCCGGCACAGGAGCGTCGTTACCTTGCAAAAACTCGTTGTAAAATAGGCACCGATGGCTCTTCTAGCGAGGACAACGACAGCTACCACCAGCAGACACAAGAACAATCCGAGATATCTACCGTCCAAATCCGCCAGTCGCCGTAAGAGTAAACTTTCGATTTATGAACCAGTTAAAACGAAGTACTGATACTCAGGGGCGACAGCAACATGCTGAAGAGCATAAAAATCATCCATACAGTGAAAAATCTAAATCTCCAAATGCCAGTACACCAAATCCTGTTCAGTGTCAGGTTGGTGAACTTGTGTACCTCAATGATGACCAGAACAAATCCTCCAGTAGAGACAGATATATTATTGTTTCCTGTGATGGTCAGTGGCGAAATATACGCAAGTTTGCAGGCACTCAACTTCGTCGATCGTCGCATTGTGTTAAGGACTCGAACCTCTTCAAGGTTCCCTCTCTCACGGTTACGAGAACTGACAGACAGAACATGTCATCAAACACTTCAGCGTCATCCGAAGAAGATGACACACCATCTCGTGACCAATCACTCGTTAAAGCTTGCGCATCCTCCCACGAAGTTGACATCGGCCCAACTGATGTACAACCCGTACCGGTAATACAACCTCAACCACTTCCGGATATCCCTACTTCAGACATACCCACTTCTCAACAAAGTGTCCGTGCTGACGACGACAGAATGCCGACACATAGTCCAGAGTGGCTCGAATATTATGTGGTCTGATATATACCACCACTCAGAATATACTTGTATTTTTATCCGTTTACCCTTACCAGAGTTTTTATGTGGTATTGTGAATGACAACTGACATTTGCGTGTTATGTGCGGGGCAGAATAATCCCCCAAAACACGAGGGCAGACTACCCAATGAGTGTTTTGTTATCTTTCTATATAATTTGTTTGTTTGTTAAATA